CCTTTGCAACCCGTTTTTGGGGCCGGCAGAGCCCGTGGCAGCGGCTGGTGAAGCGGATGACGCGCTTCTTCACCAAACTGGACGCCGACGGCTCTTACCGCGCCCTGAAAGAGGTCTGTGAGAAGATGGGGTACGGCTGGAAGAAAAGCTGCACGAACCAGGTAGGGATCGGGGTGCAGAATCGTGGCGTGGGCCCCCCCCACACTGTTGCAGCCGCAAATAATTCGAGGGACGCCCCCTCTGCCGTCGTTTTGCAGGTCACCATCTCGACCACAGACAGGAGGAACAACAAACTCATCTTCAAGGTGAACCTGGTGGAGATGGAGAGCAAGATTTTGGTGGATTTTCGCCTCTCCAAGGTGAGGGGGGGGTCTGGGTGGGCGCACACTGGGTGCAAGGTGATGCAGGACCATGCAAGGTTGGGTGCAAGACAGTGTTGGTGGGTGCAAGGTGATGCAAGATGGGGGCAGGGCAGCACCCGGCGGGGGCACGGTAGCTGAAGGTGATGGAAGGCAGCGTCTGGTGGGTGCAAGGCGGTGCAGGGCAGGTGCAGAGCGGTACCTGATAGGCATGGAGGGGTGCAAGGGGGTGCAAAATGCGTGCGAGGTGGTGCAAAGCGGGTGCAAGGCAACGCAGGGTGGGTGCAAGACCGCAGGGTGATGCAAGATGGGTGCAGGGCGATGCAAGGTGGCACAAGGTGGGTGCAAGGCAATGCCCGGCGATGCATGATGGGTGCAAGGCAATGCAGGGCGATGCGAGATGGGTGCAAGATGGGTGCAGCCCGGCAATGCAAGATGGGTGCAGGGCGATGCAAGGTGGCACAAGGTGGGTGCAAGGCAATGCAGGGCGATGTGAGATGGGTGCAAGGTGGGTGCAAGGCAATGCCCGGCAATGCAAGATGGGTGCAGGGCGATGCAAGGTGGCACAAGGTGGGTGCAAGGCAATGCAGGGCGATGTGAGATGGGTGCAAGGTGGGTGCAAGGCAATGCCCGGCAATGCAAGATGGGTGCAGGGCGATGCAAGGTGGCACAAGGTGGGTGCAAGGCAATGCAGGGCGATGTGAGATGGGTGCAAGGTGGGTGCAAGGCAATGCCCGGCAATGCAAGATGGGTGCAGGGCGATGCAAGGTGGCACAAGGTGGGTGCAAGGCAATGCAGGGCGATGTGAGATGGGTGCAAGGTGGGTGCAAGGCAATGCCCGGCAATGCAAGATGGGTGCAGGGCGATGCAAGGTGGCACAAGGTGGGTGCAAGGCAATGCAGGGCGATGTGAGATGGGTGCAAGGTGGGTGCAAGGCAATGCCCGGCAATGCAAGATGGGTGCAGGGCGATGCAAGGTGGCACAAGGTGGGTGCAAGGCAATGCAGGGCGATGTGAGATGGGTGCAAGGTGGGTGCAAGGCAATGCCCGGCAATGCAAGATGGGTGCAGGGCGATGCAAGGTGGCACAAGGTGGGTGCAAGGCAATGCAGGGCGATGCAAGATGGGTTCAAGGTGGGTACAGGGTGATGCAAGATGGGTGCAGGGCGATGCAGAGCGGTGTAAGGTGGGTGCAAAGCAACGCAAGGTGCGTGCAAGATGGATGCAACGCAATGGAAGATGGGTGCAGGGTGACGCAAAGCAGCGCAAGGTGGGTGCAAGGCGATGCAAGAGGGGTCCAAGGTGCAACTCAGCCCAACCCCCCTGCCTCTCCCCCACAGGGCGATGGCCTGGAGTTCAAGAGGCATTTCCTGAAAATCAAAGGCAAGCTCAGCGACATCATCAGCACCCAGAAAGTCTGGCTGCCCGCCACCTGAGCCCCCCTG